TCAGCTTGGGCAGCTGCTGCGCGGTCAGCACCTGCGCGGGAGCGAGAGGAGCTGCAGCCTGGCCCGAGGCGCTCACACCGGCCCTCCCGCTCAGGACCTGGAGGCGGACCGCCCTCCCAAGAGCTGTCCCCAGGCCTCTGCTATCCTCAGGCTGGCACCCCGCAGACAGGGACCCCAGGCAGGGTGTGGTCCAGGCTGCTGACCTGGATGGTGAAAGTCGTTCTGGGGGGTCCAGGACACTCAGGGTCAAAGGTTGTGTCAGGCTGCCGCAGACAGGCAGGTTTCAGGACATAGCCACACTGCCCATTGATAAGGAAGCGCCCGGCATTGAGGTCCATCTCATAACCTGGCGTCTGGAAGTTCAGGGCCACTGTGGACACAGCGGGGACAGGGCAGGGGCTCTCAGTGGCCCTCTCTTCACTGCTCGGTTTCAGGAGTCTCACTGCCCTCCCCGCCGGACACACCTCATGGGGCGAGGACTCAGCTCTCTCTAGAGAGGGCCCAGGGTCCCACTCCCTGGGTAGTGCTATCCCACCCCTACCATGGCTGGGCGTTTTCACGGCAGCCGGGGGACCCAGCCTCCACAGCTGGAGCCGGAGGGTGGGGCTGGGGCTGGGCCTGGGGCCGGGCCAGAGGCAGGATCCAAGGAAGCCCCATGTTTCCCTCCCTGACCCCAAGGGGACCAGGCTCCTCTCCTTTGGCTCTGCTCAGCCTCCCTCCAGAGCACACGCTCGTCAGCATTGACTTAGTGGGGACTGCCGGGCTGTGTGTTTGTGTATGTGAGGGGCACGTGGGAGTGGAGGTTTTGAATTTCCACCTGCACGAAAAGTTTTGAGATTGTGCACTGGCTCGTTTACACAAACGAGCCTGCTTTGTGTTTCCCCACCTTCCTTGTTGATCAGTCTTTTAATAACTGGCATCCACAGGACTCATTTCTCCACCTTCTGGAAAGCTGTGCGGCCTCATCACCGCTGGGGCCGCCGTGGCCCCCCGCCCACCCCCTCTCCCCGGTGCTCCCACTCACCCAGCTGACAGCCCGAGTTCCACATCTCCTGGGGGTTGTAGTTGGCGGAGTTCATCCGCAGCCCCAGTGGGTAGACACGGGTCAGTTGGCAGGCATTGTGCCTGATGAAGCTGTTCCCTGAGGGAGAGTTGGGGCAGGACTGTGACAGCCCCTGGGCTGTGGCTCACCGGGTGCCAGGGCCTGTCCCCTCCCCTCCCCCACCTCCAGAGACAAGCTGGGGACAGAGGCTGAACTCCCACCCCCAGCTCCCCCGCCCCCGCTCCTTGTTCTCTCTGATGAGAGGATGGGGGTCCTCACAAGGAGGCTGCTGAAGTCCAGAGAGGGGCAGGGACCCACCCCTCCCGCCGCCTGGCACTGCCTCCCACCCCAAGTCCCCACATTCCTGACTCGGTGGGTGGAGCACTTGGCCCCAGGCTGGCAGCCCCTGTCTTTCATGTCTCATCCCACAAGCACTCCTCCAGCCACGCCTCCGCTTCCAGGAACCCTTCCTGTACCTCAAGCCTCTAGGCCTTGGGACAACCTGCTCCTCCTGTCTGAAGTCCCCTCCCCCTCTTCACCTGGCTGCTTCCTCCTCATCCTTCAGTCAGGTGTCTTCTCAGCCATCACCTGCTCGGGAACCCTTCTCTGATCTCACCCCCTCCTGCTGGGCTTCCCTAGCCTCCGTCACGCCTGTCCTGCCCGACTGATCACCCGGCACCGTAATTATCCATCTATGTCTGGCCCGACCACTAGGCTGTGAGCTGGTGAAGGCAGACAGCAGCCTCCCTCTTCCCTGTGCCCTTTTCCCTCTACGTACGCCTGGCCGGGCATGCCTGCCGGGCATGTGCTGGGCACTCATTCCCTGAGCCCCTCTTCACGGCCCCCGAAGCCCTTTCGCACTCCTTTCCAGATCAACTTCAGCATCTACCACCCACCAGGAGCCTGCAGGTCCCCCAGAGGCCCGACGTCCCGGCTCCTACCTGCCTCTCGGATGAGCTTCTTGGCCTTGCGCTCGCTGAGGGAGCTGACCTGGCAGGGCTGGGGCGGGGCTGGGGCAGGGCGCAGGGTCCGCAGGCGGCTGGCACAGCAGTACACGGCCAGGGCCGACAGCTCCGGGGAGATCTGCTTGGCCTGGGAGATGAGCCTCAGCAGGGGTCTGCCCACTCCAGACCCATGGTCCTCCCACCTTGCTTCCCTCTGCCACCTGCCCCCAAGCTCCACAGTGGCATCAAGCCCCTGCCCAGCCCGGGCTGGCCCAGCCAGGCCCACTCACCCGCCGCCTCTGCTCTGTGGCCCCCGCCTCCTCTTCGTCCTCGTCTTCGTTGTCCTCCTCCGGGTCTGATAGAACTCGACCGTCCTCATTCCGAGCAGCTGGCAGCTTCTTTCCCTTCACCAGGACCCGGCCTTTCAGCTGCTGTAGAGACCAACGCGGAAAAATTCAGCCCTTTTGCCCCTATGTCGGCCGGTCAGTCTATCACTCAGCCACCACTGTGTGAGGGGCTGGCCCAGGGTGGTGAGCAGCGAAGGGGACACAGATGAGTGATGTTTCTAATAGGAAGAAACCTATGAGGGAAACAGCCCTATCCACAGGGGACTGGCTAATGGGGTCCCTCTAAGCATCAGCATACTACACAGCAGCCAGTAAAATGAATGAGGCAGCTCAGAGTTGAAAGAGAAGGTGCTCTCTTCAAAAAAGATCTCATGTGGGGCTTCCCTGGTGGCGCAGTGGTTGAGAGTCCGCCTGCCGATGCAGGGGACACGGGTTCGTGCCCCGGTCCGGGA